AATGTAAAAAATATTTTAAACAACTCTAATTAATAAGATATATTTGTATTATTTTTTATCAAAATACAACAAGAATCGTTACGTTTAATAGTAACTGAATAGGTTTTCGAATTCTTCGTCAATGTATGCAATGGGTTACAAAACGAAATGTCAGTAGAGAGTAACTTTCCTTATTTTTTGTTCTAATTATCCCCCATTGGCTCAGCGGTATGTCTTGACGGGGCTTACAACGCTAAAAACTAGGTCTCGATACTCGTGGTGTTTAACTACAAGCAAACTTGTTCTAATTAAATATTTGATTTTATATTAAATGAACAAGTTTTCAGAATCTCCATAAATCAGTTTAACAACTGTTAAAAAATTAACTTTAATTTTTTGTTCTTAAGAGAACTATGATATGTTATTGGATGTAGAGTGAAAAATAATTCAAGGTGTTTTATACAATGCACAACTAAATACACCATATTAACATTTTGGCTTTGTTTCCGCGACTTGTTTTTATTTCTTTACAAACATCTAATAAACATTTTAACCACTGGCATAAGATACAATCCACACCGGTAATCAGTGGACCAAAATTGATGGTAACTATCGAGATGAAGAAAAGAACTTATCTTAAAAATTTGCGTTTATTCTTACAATTAACGTTTATACCTTTTTTCTGTAAATTTACGTCTTTGACGAAAGTACTATGTTAACTGCCCCCCAGAGTGATATCGGTTTTCTCATCTCACTGGAATATTATTAATTAATTTAGATAACTGTGATTACATACATCAGGTCTATATAGATACAACTACCTATATATATATATATATATATATATCTAAAGTAAAAACATCTAAGCATATAACACTGCTATTCGTCTTCCTATCAAGAAGATGGGGTGTTAAAGAGGGTGTTAAATGCTTAGGAAAAACTACTATGGTGGTAGGATCGGTACAGAATTGTTCTTCCTGGTTAAAAAAAAAATTATAGAGTGCAATTAGATTCACAGTACCTCCCAAGCTTTGACTCTATGTTATTATTCGTGACTAATTGAGGTCAGAAAATTAATATGTTTCGAAGAAATATATATACATACCAAAAGCTAAATCAATTCTGCTCAGAAAAGCGATTGTTGAAAAACAACAAAATAAAAATGTTTACATTTTGATAAGCCCCCAGTGGCACAGCGGTATGTCTGCGGACTTACAACGCTAGAAACCGGGTTTCGATACCCGTGGTGGGCAGAGCACAGATAGCCCATTGTGTAGCTTTGTGCTTAACTTCAAACAAACAAACAAATATTTTGATATATTTCTGTATATAATATATTATTGCTTCTAGCAAAATGTTTACATTTTTATATATTTCTTTATATAATATATTATTGTTTTTAGCAAAATGTTTACATTTTTATATATTTCTGTATATAATATATTATTGCTTCTAGCAAAATGTTTACATTTTTATATATTTCTGTATATAATATATTATTGCTTATAGCAAAATGTTTACATTTTTATATATTTCTGTGTATAATATATTATTGCTTCTAGCAAAATGTTTACATTTTTATACATTTCTGTATATAATATATTATTGCTTCTAGGAAAATGTTTACATTTTTATACATTTCTGTATATAATATATTATTGCTTCTAGGAAAATGTTTACATTTTTATACATTTCTGTATATAATATATTATTGCTTCTAGGAAAATGTTTACATTTTTATACATTTCTGTATATAATATATTATTGCTTCTAGCATCAACAAAAACATGAATAAATACAGTTCGCTACTAAAAAAGTAAGATTTCTTATATTAATACATATGTAAATTTTTGGAAAAGGAAGTGTATGAGATGTTATTAATACGTTAATAAAACAAGTACGTTACGTAAAAACGTTTGACGAGGCATACAATGTAGCATGATAAAACACTCATTGGTCGTGTGGTTATTTTTCTTTGCTTTTGGTGTTTGGAGTGTTTATGTTTATATTGTTTTTTTATGTTTTATGGTTAAACCTACATCAACTTAATGTACAGAAGAGCTATTTTATCAACTAATATATTTTATTTTTAATTTTCCACGCTCGTTTTTTAAATCAACTTAAAAGCAAGTGTTTCGTAAATATCAATACTTGGAAACGTGCTGGGTGGCTCAGGAAAATTATTGTTTGGATTCATTGGTTACTTAGCAACAGTAGAAAGGTTTCGTAAAGAGCTTTATGCTTATTGACTTACACGGTTTTCCAATTAAGGCTTTAAAGCACACGTATAAAAACAGAGTATAGAGACAGAATATAGCGATGAAGTCTACATAAATGGAAATTAATTTGGCGTAAATGTTATTTAGCAAACAGGCCTAGCATGGCATGGTAGTTAGGGCGCTCGACTCACAATCTGCAGGCTGCGGGTTCGAAAACCGACACTGAACATGCTCGCCATATCAAGCATGGAGTGTTACAATTGGAGAGACGATTCCACTCTTCAGTGGTAAAGAGTAGCCCAAAAGCTGATGGTGGGTAGTGTTAGCCAGTTGCCTTCTCTCCTGTCTGTTACTTCTAAATTATTCACTGTCAGCGCAGAAAGCGCTCGAATAGCTTTGCTCAAAATTTAACAAATAAAATTCAGTAAATTTTTCACGTTTTAGAGATAATTTTGTAGCTCTGAGTTTCCATACATATCGATCGAATGATCAGAAATATAGAAAAAAAAAGTTCAGATTTACGACAAGAGGACGAATGATGTGATCATTTTGGTTTTCAAATTCATTCGTAAATTAAACCACGTTGCACATACTTAGAGAAAGTATGTGAGGTATCGATTTTGTTTCGCCAGGTTTTCGGATGTCGGTGTGGCTATAGGCCTGTGATAGTGTTCTTGACAGCTGGTGTACAGCCAGTAATGTGATTTTAATATACCAACCGATTAATCTTCCCGCTGGATCGCTCGGTTTGTAATTCTCTTTGTTTCGCTTTTATTCTCTAATAATACAGTTTTATGTCTGGCAGAATAGCTGCATCGTTGAATGATGTCACTTAAATTTTATTTTCAGAATAATATATATATATATATATAAGAAGTAATTTTTTTGTTTGTTACTTTTTTATTAAACACCCAATATTTCGGCGACCCTTGGACACTTTTTCAGGAGTTGATAAACTTTGCTTATATATGTATGCATAAATTAACTTCTCTCTTTCATCATACTGCTTTAAACTACATCTTTCGAAAAGGCTTACGCTTTTCAATAGGAATGAGATCGTGCACTGTGGGAATATTTAAAATATATTATCTTTTTAGTCAGTTTTAGAATATTTTATAAATCAGGGGGTGTTCAAAAAAGAAACTGAATTATGTTTCCTATAAGCACACTACACCAGATTACAAACAGTAAACGTGAACTAGTTATTTTGAGGTCGTGAGCAAACAGACATCAGTCAATAACACGATCCCGTTAAGTACAGAACTTATTCTTTTCCTAAATTCAGGGCTTTATCATGTGAGTTCAGTAAAATGAATGTTTAGCATCAAGAACTCAGTTGCTTTGGAATCATCACTTGAAGTGTTGTCCACTGAGAACCAAAGAAGTGGTATAGGGGAAGTACTTTTTCACTCTCCTTTGTTAAGAACTTTGTTACAGGACGTTATTTAAAACCACTGTCGCTTGCAGATGCCCTGTTGTGTTGCATGCCACCCACCACGGAAACACATAATATAAGATTCAGCTAGTAGCAGACAGATATTGACCTCATCATCCACGAGGGGGAAACCCTGTTGTTTTTCTTACTCCCCCCTACTATCTCTTACAAGTCTGGAATTTTAAACCTTAATTATTAGGAATGATTCCTTTGTAGCATAATTACTAGGGTGGGCCCCCACAATGGCTCAGTGGTAAGTTAAAATTGGGGTTCTTTACCGGCACAACGCAAACAACCCATTCCATATATTTTTGTTTACAAACATATTATGGTAGATCCTATAAGAATTCACGTTGAATTATTGTTCTAAGTATTCAATACACATCTATTGTGGATTTGAAGACTTATCTTTACACCCTTTTCTTTAACTTACGCAGTCAGAACAGGTTTGCGTTGAATTTTCCAATTAGACTTGGGCCGTGCGTGGCCAAATGATTAGAGTGCCTGTAATATTATTTATTCCAATGGTTTATGGTTCTTGTCCTCTTACCCCCTAAATCGCAGTCTATATTGTGGGGTCGTAGATGCACTAAGAGATCACTGTTAAATCCCACTTCTTCTCTTATGGGTCGGGCTTTAAATCCTTTTATCGGGATATGGGAGGGCCAGGTACTTCCGAAGACCTCTTCCTCCCTCCAGCACAGTTGTTATAACGCGCAAAGTACACCATCGTGTCTGATAAATGCTAGACTTATTATATGTGAGAGTTATGCACCGATTACAATTATTAGTTTCAACATCCCTTTTCATAGATATGTCCATTCATATACCACGTATAGCATTTTATGTCGGTATATACTTCTTTTAGCTTGAAGTGTATAGTCTTACACATGACAGACAGTTCCATATTTTGCGACACATTCATTTTCTATTCGATCAAAAAAGAGTAGCCCAAAAGTTGGCGGTAGTTGAGGTTGAATAATTGCCTTTCAGCTAGTCTATTTACTTCAAAGTTGTGGATTAATATTCGTCGATAGCTCTTGTGTAATTTTGCTCAAAAATTCTAAATACAACAACCCTAACCAATTAAACTCCAAAGCTTTGTTTCTATTGTTGGAGAAAACAACTACAGTTTGTTTAGAAATATTTTATTCAAAAACTTTTACTAGTGCGCGAGAATACAAAAATATCAATATTATTACAAACAGGAAAATTTGTTGTCAACAAACTAAAATCTTTAGGGTCGTACAGATCCCGCCCTATAAATTAAAGGGTAAGTAAAACAAGTGGTTCTTTTTAAAGATTTAATAAAATTATTTCTTTAATAATCAAATTTCCTACGTTAATTTTTGTTTGTCCTAATCCAGCTCACAAGTCAGATCACGAGTACAATGGGATAGGACATGGCGGTTGTGGTGTTGGAGGAGATTCGTCAGCAAGTAATGGACCAGGCAGAACAAACTTCACTACCAAACAACTAACAGAATTAGAGAAAGAATTTCACTTTAACAAATATCTGACTAGGGCACGACGAATAGAAATTGCCAACGCTCTTCAACTGAATGAAACACAAGTAAAAATTTGGTTTCAAAATCGAAGAATGAAACAGAAGAAAAGAATGAAGGAAGGTCTCGTGCCTCCAGAAACCATCACTCCAGAAATTAATTCCACTTGCCATGAACATAAACCCGTTACCAGGATACCTCCGTCGAATGTTTCCACGGCAACGGTTCTGCCAGCCAATAAAGGAACTTGTTAGTGAACATTGGAACATTGCAAGAAAATAAAAATAAATCAACAATTTCTTTACCGAGCCGTGAAAAACTACGATTTTTGGATGGATGCTTAAGAACATTTTTGGTAAAACATTCATTTCTTGTAGGACTACTGTGGACCAAAACATCAAATTGTATGGGAAAATGAAAAAAACAAACAAAAATGTGTATATATATATGCACGGAAAAATAGATTTTATGGGGACCTACATAAGAAGAAAATAACGGTAACTAAATCCTACTTTCATTATTCTGATTTTTCTCACGTATTACTCACACGTAAAATTATTAATATGGCACAAAACTGCTCTTGTTAACAAAAACATAAACGTTTTTTCGGTTAAGATTAGGCTAAAATAAGTTTAGAAAAGCCGAATTTTAGCATATTCATTCTTTTAGCTGAATAATGAATTCTATATGGCATTTTCTTTATTATTTCTATAGAGTTGTTTTGGCTTGGCTTAATTTCTTGTTCTACTATTAAATCATAAAGTCGCTGATGTAAATAGTATTTCATTAAAATTTAACTTATTTGACTGTCTGTTTTATTCTATATATACATATATGCGTGTGTGTGTTCACGTTTAAATAAATCTTACTTTATTGTAAACAGCACCCATAAAAAGCTGATGTTTTATAAGAATAAAAAAGACTAATATCCTTTCCAGCCTAAAATCAAGTGTTGCTAACTTGAAATGGGAGTACAAAAAGAAATAACGTGAGAAACAGTGTAATTGATTGACCCACTTATAGCATTTACAAATTAATAAGGCTTAGTTGGTATCGAGATGTAAATTACTTCTTAATTAGTGGTTTTCATTTTCTATGGGGCAGACATATTTTATAGTGGTTTCATTGTGTCTGCGCCTCAGTAGTAAATTGCTCCACACAAATATACAGACACTCACCAAGCTCAGTACCTATCCTTATGGTAGTGTCATTGTTGGGCTGTTAAAAAATCCATATCCACTCCATAGTCGTTGATGCTTTGACTTTCTTTCTTTCTTTTCAATTTGTCATTAAATAATCCCAGTTACAGAACAGGATATACAAAGCTACAGTAAACGAGGATACCACATAGTCAAAGTAAACGAAAAATAAAGCACACGTGTAACGTAACCGTAGAATCGGTCCAATAATTTAAACTCTGTTGGGAAAAATAATGATAAGAAAGAAACGATTGCGAAATATGTCATCAAATGAAAATAAAATAAATATACTTTGCTAATTATTCAACTCATTTAAGTGTATATCTGAAATTTTAATAAAACATTTGGTATTATTAAAGTGTAAACTTTTGTTTTTAAATCTTAAATATATAAACTACCAGGCCCAATTATATTACCTTCAAGAAATATCAGGCCAGATTCTGTAATGCTTTAATGTACAAGAAACGTCAAGTCATATGAGATATTAGTACTACTTTCATATACACAAAACTATCAGGCCACATTACATTAGTTTTGTGTATATGAAAGTAGTACTATCAGGCCACATTACATTAGTATTGTGTATATGAAAGTAGTACTATCAGGCCACATTACATTAGTTTTGTGTATATGAAAGTAGTACTATCAGGCCAGATGATCTGAGTGCTTTAATGTACAAGAAATGTCAAGCCACATTATATTAGCACTACTTTCATATACACGAAACTATCAGGCCAGATTATCTGAGTGCTTTTATTTTGAAATAATTTGAAAGCCAAGTTGTTTTGAGATCATTTATACATTGTAGAAAAGTTGTACTTGTGACTTAACAGATATATAAACATTTTATCAAATTTTCATAAAACTGATGGAATTTAAAAAATTAACTAACGTATTATAAAACAATGTAAAGAAAGGATTTTATTAAGTTAGATTTTTGTATTAAGAATATTTTATACAACAACAACAGTAAAAAGTAAACATGCTAAGTCACACTTTACAGTAAAAAGCTCCCCCCCCCCGTAAAATTAAGCGCTCATGACTTTAAAATTCTGGGCTCGATCGTTGGTTTAGGCACAGGATAGATAGCATAAACAGAGCGAAGAATTATTTAAACCGTCGTTTTTTGTTTTAGGAACATGCAAGAAAAATCACCAGAAAAATACATTTTCCTTCAAACTCTTAAAAAATTATTTTGGATTATAACAAGTTGAGAAGAAAGGAAACGCAAGGTAATTTAATATAAGGCTTAGCACAATTATCTGAACTTCAATCACAGTTTAGTAAACAGGGGGGAAACATGAACTAAAATACGTGTATTTAAGCTGTAACCATAATTTTTAGGTTAATGTTTATTCTAGCACCTCACAGTACCAGTACAACTTCATGAGCACTGCTGATACGATAAAAGAAAACTTGGTTAATACCTTTTTATGTTCGTTAGTCTTTTAACAAAAACTTATTGGATCTCGAGTTATCACGTGAACAGTGCCAATTCAACAAACTGGCGGCACTAAACGCTCTACTCACGTGACATGCTATAGAACAGTTGGGATGAACAACAGCCACTTGTTACCTCTGCAGGAATCATCTTACCTCTTAAACCATAGTTACTTAGTTTTAAAGTTACAATTAAGGCTAAAATACCTTTTACAACTGTCGAAGAAACCCAGTAGAATCCAGGTATCATACTACATACTGGAGTATAAACATGTTTAATTTACAGTAAAAATTATTTACCTCCTCAACGTTTCACCTAAGGACTTCATCAAGAATTAGGTTATCTACTACTTCCTGATGAATCCGAAAAGTGAAACGTTGAACACTGGATACTGGTTGTTTTCCTTCAATTAAACTGTCGACAAACTCAGCTAGAGGCATTAGAAATTATTTGTTTGTGGTGCTTACGTAAAACATGTAATGACGGAATACTCAATAATTTGGTCAATGGGTGTATGTATTATGAGATGAGTGGAAAATCAGGGAATAGGCATCAGAGTGTTACTTTCACTTGAACAAAAACGTCAACAGGAAATAAACAGAAATTGAAACTATAATAAAACTCAATTACAAGGGGAATAAAAGGAAATTATTGCACACTGACAAGAACAGACTGAACACTCTTGTGTTTATTATATATATGGAGATGCACATAAATCACACAGTCCAAGACTGCGAGGTCGTTTCGATACTTGGAAGTTCAATTCTAATCTAATCTTAAAGCACACCCTTACTCAATATCTCTGCTAGTTGAACAAATCAACAATTCAATTGGTTAGAAGCATCCCTGTTCTCCCAACTTCACAAGGTCACCAAGGCCAAACAGACCATTAATAATATAAGAGTTATTTGATTACAAGTTACAGTTTTTACAGTAAGTAAAATGATCAAAACGTTGTAACTGTTCTAAATACAAATCTTACTTACTGTACAAGCTGTAACTTGTAATAAGATATACTTAATTAGTAAGTAAACTCAAAACGAAACTGTTAATATATGACTTAGCCTAGTTTGGTTACTAGCGTTGTGAGGCAGACCTAAAAACACTCTTGCAGGTTACCAGTGATGTACTTTCGGGTTAAAACCAATGTTGTATAAGTACATAAATTTAGTGAATAAATACAGATTATGGAATTATATACTAAATGCCCATACACGTTAACAACTTTATATTTTTTAAAGTTATCATCGAATTTTCATTAAAGTAATTGACTTCGATCTCTCC